TCTGTACATCCTAGGCTCCATGCATGCTAGGCTTTGTACATCCTAGGCCCCATGCATGCTAGGCTCTGTACATCCTAGGCTCCATGCATGCTAGGAGAGCACTCTGCTAATTGAACCCCTTTTGATTTTCTTGAGACAGAGTCTCGTGTAGTCTGAGTTGACCTGGAACTCGCTCTGTAGTTGAAGATGACCTTAGACCCCCGGCCCTCTGACCTTTGTCTTTTAAGTGCATCACCATGCCTGGCTGCAGCTTTTGTTTGTTTGGTTTGGTTTTTTGAGACCGTTTCTCTGTGCAGCCCTGGATGTCCTGAAACTGGCCTTGAACTCAGGGATCTGCCAGTCTCTGCCTCCCAAGTGCTGGGATTAATGACATGCCCCATCACGCCTGGCCGTTTTTCTTTCTTGGAATAAGCTGGTCCTCACTGTAGGGTAAGACTTCCTATTTTAATATTAATTGTTTATATTTGTAAAAATATTTACATAAAATTTCCAAATGAATTTTGAAGGGCTAGGAATGTGGCTGAATGGGTAGGGTGCTTGCCTGGCATGCTTGAAGTCCTGGGAGCCATCTCCGGCACCGTGTAGACCAGCTGTGGTGCCACATGTCTATAACCCCAGTACTTGGAGGTGACGACAGGAGGGTCAGAGATCATCCTCGCCCTCATACTGAGTTCCAGGCCAGCCTGGGTCCATGATACCTTGTCTTCCCCCAACCCCTAAAGGTAAAGAACTTTGAAAGGAAAAGGTTTGCAGTATGTAATGCTAGTCACCCAGTCCCTTCCACAGAGACCACTGGGTATCAGTGTCACATTTTTTTAATAATTTGAGACAAGGCCTCACACTGAAACTCGAGCTGGCCTGGGATTTACTCTGCAGCCTGTATGGTAACAAACCCATAGCAATCCTGCCTCAATCTCCTGGGTGCTAAGATTACAGGATGGAGCTACCATGCCCTGCCTGGCTGATCATGTGGTTTCAAGTGTCACCTACTAGAATGCCACATAAGGAAATGTGCAGTATGTGCTTTTGTTTTTACACCAGAAATGATTTTCTGTCTATCAGATGAAAGGAGTCACCAAGTAAAGAGGGTTTTGTTTGTTTGTTTGTTTGTTTGTTTTTAAGATTTATTTACTATGTATACAGTGTTCTGTCTGCCTGCTGAAAGAGGGCACCAGATCTCATTACAGATGGTTGCGAGCCACCATGTGTTTGCTGGGAATTGAACTCAGGACCTCTGCAAGAACAGCCATTGCTCTTAACCTCTGAGCCATCTCTCCAGCTCCGCAAAGAGTTTTTTAAATCCCTTTCTAAGTCTTGTCCTTTTAAAATGGATGATATGTCCAGAACGGCGTCTGGAAAGCTCCAGAGATATACACTATGAATTTTTGGTGGGTGCAGGTAGACACAGAGAAGCAAAAGAGATAGCTTAAAGGTCTAGGATGGCAGAGGGCTGAGGGCTTGTCTTGGCTGTAAAGGCATTGTGAGGGCGGGTGGACGGTACCTTGTATCTTGAGGCGTTGTCTCTCCCTGGATTCCAGAGCGGCTGTCGTACCTGTGTCCTCAGGAGTGCCCCCACATTGTCTTCCAAGCCATCTCTGGGCCCTTGGCTGCGGCCACTGCCTCCATCCTCACCAACCCCATGGATGTCATCCGAACCCGTGTGCAGGTAACACCGGCCTCCTCCCCAGTCACCTCCCCACCCTGACTCAGAGATTAGAAGCAAGAGCTGTAGGCCTCCAGTGTCCCTGTGACCTCAGTGTGCCATGACCCTGATGTCTAGTCAGCCTTATGACCATTCAAGTCCCTTCTTGTGCTTATCTGTGCAGATGCCAGCTGAGAGCTTAAAAGTGTCCAGATTGTTTTCCTTACCCTGTCTGCTCCTTGTATGTCTCTACCCATTACCTGCCCGGCCTCTGGAGACTCTGTCTGCTTTCTTCTGGCCATCAGTTGAAATCTGTTCCATACTCTATTAGCCTAGGTCCTAAGCCACCCTCCTTGCAGGCTGTGGTGATTGGAATTATTGTTTCATATTAACTTCCGAGGTCTCTTGATTTTTTTCCACTAGGCTCTGAATTCACAGAATGAGAAATTGAAATCAAAGAGGTGGTCTCTAACGTGATCTGGGGGGAGGGAGGTGGAGGCAAGACCCTTGAGAAATGGAAAGAGAGACAAAAATGTCCCTTTTCCGTTCAAGATTACTACATTTATTTATTATGTGTGCATGCATGTGTACACGAGGTTGACATGGAATGAGCAGAAGCCAGAAGAAAACTTGTGTGAGTGGCTGAGTCCTTTACTTGCATTCTGTGGCCCTTGGAGTCAGACTCCGGTCCTCAGGCCTGGCAGCAGGAGCCTTTACCCACTGAGCATTTTGCTGATCCTTTTTTTTTTTTCCACCCTAAAGACAGGTTCTTGTGTATCCCAGGCTGGATTTGAGCTCTATAACTAGCCCCGATGATGGCCTCGAACTCCTGACCTTCCTCTACCTCTAGAGTACTGGGTTAGAGGGGTGTCCTGTTGTACCTGCTTTTAGAAATGCTGGCCTTGCTAAGCAAGTCCTGAGCAGACTGAGCTCCCCAGCTCCTTCTGGTTTTGTTTTTGAGACAGGGTGTCATGTAGTCCACTCTGACCTCAAAGTTGTTGTAGCTGATGCTGCCCTTGAATTCCTGATCTCCTGAGTGCTGAGATTACAGGAAGGTGCCTCGCATTTGGCCTTTTGTTGATTTTTTTTTTTTTTTTGAGACAGGGTTTCTCTGTGTAGCTTTGCGCCTTTCCTGGAACTCAGTTGGTAGCCCAGGCTGGCCTCGAACTTACAGAGATCCGCCTGATTTTGAGACAAAGTCTCAGAGTTCAGCAAGGCTGGCTTCGAGCTCACTTTGTACCTGAGGATGACCTTGAACTCTTGATTTTCCTGCCCCCACCCTCCAAGTACTGGGATTAAAGGTGCATGCCACTATGCCAGCTGTGAAACTCCTGGGGGTTTTGTTTGTTTGCTTGTTTTGTTTTTGGTGTGTGTGTGTGCGCGTGCGTGCACATACACACTATAATGTACGTGTAGCGGTCAGAGGTTTACTTGCAGTAGTTGGTTTCCATGTGGGTTCCAGGGGATTGAACTCATGTCACCAGGCTTGATGGTAAGCAGTGAGCCATGTTGCTAGTCTGAGATTGTTTTTAAATAGCTTTCACAGGTTGTACTGTGTAGACTCATTCAAAACACTGACAACTTGTAGTGCTGCCCAGAAATTGTAATCCCTGTCTAAAGTCAGCTCTGAAGACAAGTAGCTAGCACCAAGAAATAGGATCTGAATATGATACATGATACGCAAAGGGTAAGTTTTGCTGTATCAAGTCTTCGGTGTCAAGCAAGGGGGGCTTTCAATGTGTTACTAGGGTAATTTAGGGTGAAAGGTAGAGAATCAAGAAAAGATATATTCGAGAAGGATCACTGGGATGTGGTGAGAATAGGAAGGAAGAAAAGGAACCTTAACAGTTTGGGGCAAAGTATTTTTGTGTCACTAGTGTGTCCAAAGAGGGGCAACAGATATAGGGATTTTTTTGTCCCTAGGAAAGAGTTCTTCCACCATTTCAAAATAAATACACTGGCATTTGCCTGGGATGCAGGTGAATCCTCCGGTGTCTTTATCATGGAGAACCAAGGCTGGCCCCGTTCCTTCCTTAACCTTGCCAGGTGTTTTAGGAGGCAGTCTGAGGGAAAGACAGCTCTCTGCTCTGTGGGCTTCTAGGCCAGAGTCTAGGGCCAAGCTGAAAATGCCTTTGACGTGGCTAACAGAGCTTGTGGAAGCGAAGTGATGAGATGAGATGCTCGAGGAGACAAAGTTGTGGAGGAGATGCCGAGGAAGGCAGGGTAGAGTAGGGAGCCATGGCAGACTGGGCTGGGATCACCTGGGGAAGATGCACTGGACAGGGAGGGTATGAATAAGGAGTCTGTGTCTTGTGTGGGCAGAAGTGCTCTGACCTGGGCTCTAGAGCTGTGATTTGGGAGTAGGGGAAGGAGATAGAACTGTCGAGAAAAGGGGGCAGACATCCATGTCCTGGCTACTGGCCGGGTGACCAACACTGAACAGAGTGGAGGCTTCTAGCCCTGAAGCCGAGAGGGACTGAGATGACCAGAGGCTGCCATGGATGGCTAGAGCTGCCTGAGGGCCTTACTAGGGATTGAAGGCAGCCTCGTGAGACAGAGAGAAGCACCTAGTCCAATGACTCACAGCTGGATAGCTTGCCTGAGACAGGGAAAGCTGGTACTTCGTGAGCATGCTCTTACCAGACAGCGCTATTGGCAGTCTGTTGATTGAGAAAGGTTTCATCATAGAGCTCTGACTGGCCTGGAACTCACTGGATAGCCCAGGTTGGACCCAAATTTACAGAGGTCTGCCTGCCTCTGCCTCCTCAATGCTGGGATTAAAGATGTGTGCCGTGTTGTTGGCATTTATAAGTATTATTTTCTTCTCGCTTGTAACAGCCTCGTGACACAGGGACTGTTATATCACCATTTTCTATTTGAGGAGACTGGGGTAGGAAGGGTTAAGTAAACTCAGGTAGTCTGTCACCAGAGCTCAGAGGAAGTCACTGTGCTGTCCCCAGCAGCAGAGTCTAGCCCTTGGAGTCCCCACTTGAGCCTGAAACACAGTGTGGGTGAGCAGAGCAGTTGTGACCGGGGACAGTTGGTGGCGCCTCACTGTGGTGACTTTTCCAGGTGGAAGGCAAGAGCTCCATCATCCTGACCTTCAGGCAGCTGATGGCAGAAGAGGGGCCCTGGGGCCTCATGAAGGGCCTCTCCGCCCGAATCATCTCGGCCACACCCTCCACCATCGTCATCGTGGTGGGCTACGAGAGCCTCAAGAAACTCAGCCTCCGACCAGAGCTGGTGGACTCGAGACACTGGTAGCCAGTGGTGGACAGAGAGCCTCTGGTTTCACACATTCTTCTGGGCCGGGGTAGAGCAGGGAGGATAGTACCCTTGTGAACGCCACCACCACACACCCACCCTGCTCCCAGCCAGGTGGCCTATCTGGGACAAGAGAAGAAACTTTGGACTGTTCTTGCTGAAGAGGTTCTGTGCCTGGCTTCCCTGTTCCCAGTCATTTTATTTCTCCTGCAGATCTGGGCCCCTCACTAGGTCCTGGTACTTAGTCACGGCCTGAAGGTCAACCTCCACGGGACCTGTTAGCCCCTCACTGGTGCCCCTTTCTCTGGCCACCCCTCAGGCCTGGAGAAGAGCTGCTCGAGAGTCTGTCTGTCCTCTGCTTTTTCCGCTTGAGTCTTTAAGCCAAGGCTCTAAGCAACTGCCCAAGATCTATTTTTTAAGCTTGCTTATCTTAAATTGGGGACTGAGTTGTCCACTGGACTACTCTGCTGTGCCCTGCTTTTGGGGACATGGGAGCAGCAAACACTCTGCAGGGAGTCACTAGGAGGAACGCCAAGGCTTGACTTGGTGACATCTGTGAACCAGGCAACTAATCCTGACAGCGTCAGGCCTGCTGTTGGAACCCACTCCTTGAAGAAGTGGAAAACTGTGACATCGATCCCGATTCTTTATCCCTTCCCTGTCCCTTCAGGTCTGGGAGCCTGAAGACAAGAATGGGCTGTTGGCCTCCAGTGGCCCAGGAGACTACGGTGGAGGGCACAGTTCCGAGCGGATCAGACTTTCTGGAAGACACTGGACTTGGAACGTTGCCCTGAAGCAGGTCGAGAGAGCCGCTGGCTTGGAAAGCAATGAGAGGGTGTGTGTCCCGTCACTGTCCTCTCCTCAGGCCAGCTGAGCCAAGCCCGGGAGGCAGCAGGGGAGGTTCGGAGCCCCAGGCGCTGATGTCACACACATACCTGTCACTTAGATGAACAGCAGGGGTCTCACAATGGGACTCTGGAACATGAACTACCCTGGTTTTTCTTGTCTGTGGTTGTGAAGTGTCATCCCGGTCATGGTACCCTGTGCTGGCAACAGAAAAAAGAACCGTCGGGAAGGCACCCAAGGCCAGGCCCCCTGCAGTTACCAGCCTCATACTGCCAACGTCAGTGAAGCTCCTTCAGGAGCTGCTTCTCTGTCTCCAAGCCTGTGCCGGAGGCAGAGAGGCACAGCATGTGGAATGGGAAGATGGTGGCCTGGGTGATGCTTTCAACCTTTTCTAGTGGCCCCATGCCTCGGGAAATGCCATGGTGCCAATGTGGAAGGTGCTAGCTAACTGAAGCAAGCCTTCATGGTTTTCACTGCTGCTCCACGTTCTTCCGTTCCGACTAGACCCCTGTACGTAACTCTTCCACTCACGGTAGTCTGTATTTGTTTCCTTTGGAACCCTTGACTCTTGTCTCAGCATATTAGTTGTTTTGAGACAGGCTGGTTTGATTCACTCTGTAGCAGAGGATGCCCTTGAACTCCTGATCCTCCTCCACCTCCTGAGTTCTGGCTTTGTGGTATGCTGCCAGGCCCCACTTCCTGCACTTTATTGAGAGAGCCCTCCAGTTTTGTCCATAATCATCTGAAGGGTGGAGCCCACAGATCGTTTTGAATCTTTCTGCTCCTCACCTCTACATTAAGAACTGTCAATACAACGGAAGCACAGACACCCCCGAGGAAAACTATCATGACTTTTGCTCCGTGTTGTCTTTCCTCTTTGGTCCTTCCTTACTGGGACAGAGGGTGGACAGCACAAGAGGTTCTTGCTTCTCATGCCTTAGGTTATTTCTTCCTCCTGACTACATTTTCTTGTGCGGTGTATAAATCTCTCCCTCTCCTGTCCCTTCTCTTTCCTTCTTCCCGCTTGTTTGAAAGAACAATACACGTAAGGGCACCTCCCCCATCCTGACCCCTACTCTCCCCAACGTCAGGGACTAGGATGGGCCAGCGGGCGCCCGTTTTTCCAAAACTGGAGAGCAAACAAATTTTATCCCTTTGGTCCGTAACCTAATTTAGAAACTAGAAAAGCCAGGAAAACTGGAGGGACATGGGGAAGAAAACTTAAGCGTTTGATAAAATGGACTCTTGAGGATATTAGCTGCGAATATTCACTGTTGCACTGTACGAAATCTTTGAAATGTAATTAAAAGTTTTTATTGAGCCCCTAAACTTCGGTTTGAGAACGTTTTTCCCGCCGGGAACTAAATTATCCGAGGTATTCCGAGTCCTCTGACCCGCCTCCTCTGGCGGCTGCCCCGCCCAATCCGGTCTAGTGATGGGCATTCCCTCGCCTCCAATCAGAGGTCCTGGTGGGAGGGGCTGCAGGAACAATTCATTTTGGCGGTTCAATTTCAACATGGCTGAGGTGAGCCACGGAGATGAGGCCGTGGAGAGGGGGCCTGAGGCCTCATCTCCGGAGTCCGTGCCAGTTGACACGACCATCTCCAGGGTGAAACTCCTCGACACCATAGTGGACACTTTCCTCCAGAAACTAGTCGCCCCCAGGAGGTAGGTGGAGACCAATAGGAGCGAGAGGTGGTGGCGGGAGGGCTCGTCCTCGGGATGGTAAATCCCGCGAGATCCGGTTGGTTCGGTCACGTGGTTCCGGCGGCTCCCGAAAGCCTTGCCCCCGGGTTCTCCCTGGGCTCGACCTGCGGGGGTCCCGGTCTCCACCGTCCCGCGCCGGGGCGCCTGTGTGCGCTGAGCGCCGTGGGCCGAGCGGAAAGGCGCCCGAGGCTGCCAGCGCGAACGCAGAGTCGGAAGGAGGACCTTCTTTGCTCTTTAGACTTCCACTCTCATTTCATCTGGCGGTTTTGAAGCGAGAGTTTTGCCCCCGATCCCACCACGCCGGCGCCCGGGATACTGATACCCTTGCACCCCGCATCGGTCTTCCAGGATCCCTTGACCTCAGTGATTTCCATTTTGTCAGGCTTGGTTGGCTCACTTTCGTAATCCCGTTTGCTCGGGAGGATCGTGAGTTTATGGACAGCCTGGACACTTGAACCAGACCCTATCTCAAAATTCAAAACCGGGCAGGTGGTTCAGCTCAGCAGTCTATGGTTCATTCTTCAATCTAGCGGTGAGGGGAGAGGTTTGGGGAAGAATAACACTCCCTTTTTAAAAATGTTAAGTAGATTTGTTCATGTCATGTATGGGTATTTTGTTTGCATGTATGCGCACCACACACGTGCTTGATGCCCACAGTAGGGTATCACATCCCCTGGAACCGGAACTGCAGATGGTTGTGATCCCACGATCAAAAAGTGCTCTTAACTGCTGAGTCATATCTCCAACTCTGAGCATTCCCATTTCTGAGGCCTGGCCCATCACCTGTGATCACAGCCATCCTGGAGGCTGAGGAAGCCTGGATAACAAAGTGAAATACCAAAAAACAAAAAGACCATCTCTTCCTGCAGTCTGGGCAGCTTAGCTTCCAGTCGTGCTAGTGTGCGTGTGCATGTGTGTGTGCTAGGGATTGAACCTGCAGCCTTTGTGTGCTAAGCAACTACTTCACCCGAGCTGCGTCTCCAGCCCTTTTTAAAACGTTTTTTAATCTTGAGGGGTTGTAGGGATGGCTCAGCAGTGAAGAGCATGTCCTGCGCTTGCAGAGTGCTAGAGTTGGAGACCCCGCCCCCAGGTCAAAGAGCTCACATCTACTTGTGACTCCAGCTCCAGGGGATCTGAAACCTCTTCAGAAGTGTTGGGAGACCCACCCCTCCCTCACAGGTGCAAACTTACTCCACCCCTACTCCCATGGACTTAATTTAAAAGAGAAATCTTGGGTTTGAAAAATGGCTCAGTGGTTAAGAGTGCTTGCTGCTCTTCCAAAGGACCTACCTAAATTCAGTTCCTAGCACTCAGGCCCAGCGACTTACTGCCTGTAACCCACTTCAGGCCTCCAGCACCAGCATACCTGTGGCAGATAGACAAGACAGAAAGACAGACACACACACACAAACACAAACAAGCCTTAAAAAAAAAAAAAAAAAAAAAAAAAAAAAAGACTTATGCTGGGCGGTGGTGGCTCATGACCTTAATCCTAGCACTTGGGAGGCAGAGGCAGATGGATCTCTGTGAGTTTGAGGCCAGCCTGGGCTACAGAGCTTGATCCAAGACAGGCACCAAAACTACACAGAGAAACCCTGTCTCGAACCCTACCCCCCAAACAAAACAAAACAAAAAACAAAACAACAAAAAGACTTACTATTTGAGGCAGGGTCTCAGTTAAGTTTTCCAGGCTTCACTTGGACGGATCACCCTGTCTCAGCCCCTGAGGTGCCAGGCCCACATCACACCCACAGTGAAGTGCTTTCTTTTCTTTTTCTTTTTTTTTCTCGAGACAGGGTTTCTCGAGACAGGCTACAACTTTGCACCTGAAAGACCCCCAGGGGAGATCTTCCTCCGGGAGAGACCCCAAACCCAAGGAACACACCGAAACCACAGATTCAGATGCAAAAGCAAGAGGGTTTATTTAGACCAGGTACCTGGGGCGAAGTCTCTTGGAGGACTTGCAGATTCAGATGCAAAAGCAAGAGGGTTTATTTAGACCAGGTACCTGGGGCGAAGTCTCTTGGAGGACTTGCGCGCTTTCCTAGGGCAAGGGGGACTTTTTATGGGATCCCAGGGGCAGAGGCGCGGTTACAGAAGCAAGAAGCATAGTTACAGGGTCCCTATTGGTTGTTTCTAAGAAGGCCAGGGTGAACTTGGGGTCGTATGTGTGTGGCTGATTTGGCCTTGCCCAGGCCAGCTGCTTATTCCTCAAGACCAGGGGGCCAGCCATAAAATATCCTGATTCGACTCAACTGTTTTTTTCCCAAGGCCGCCGACCACAGTTATCTCTCTCAAGGCTGGATGGCTGGCCATAGCTATCTCTGTCAAGGCCGGGTGGCTGGCTACGGCTGTGAACTCCTGTTTTTCTGATTCCTTTAGAATGGCGTTTCTTAGGCTAAGCTATTGGGGGGGAGCATTTCATTGGCCCAAAGCCCCATGTCCTCATAATGGAGCGGGGGTCTTTCACACCTTTCCTGGAACTCGCTCTGTAGCCCAGGCTGGTCTTGAACTTACAGAGATCCGCCTGCCTCTGCCTCCCGAGTGCTGGGATTAAAGGTGTGTCCCACCGTGCCGCCGCCCCCCCCCCCAAGTGCTTTCTTTTGCATGGGCCTTGTCATCTGCCTCTTTACTTTCCTCCTAATAGATATTTTTGTGCCTTCTCTGTATTTGGTGCTACAGATATGATATAATCATAGGGCTTGGTAACATAATGAACGGATAAGTTAGTGAATGGGTGATATGATACAGAGTACTAGGTAAGATAAGAGGAATCTACTCTGAAGAAGTGATAATGCAGCTAGAATTTGAAAGATGGGAAAGAACTAGATTTTTTTTTTTTTTTTTGGTTTTTTGAGACAGGATTTCTCTGTGTAACCCTGGCTGCCCTGGAATTTGCTCTGTAGACCAGGCTGGTCGCAAACTCACAGAGATCCGCCTGCTTCTGCCTCCTGAATGCTGGGATTAAAGGCTGCGCCACCACCGCCTGGCAAAGAACTAGATTTTTGTAAAATAAGGTCTATGCGTATAGGCCCTGGGGTAACCCGATCTCATGGTGGAGATGTCCTTGCCTACAGTGTATGATCAGAGGGGGAGTAAAATCAGAGAGGCTAACAGTCTCAATTAGAGCCCAGGTTTGCATGAAATCTTTTTAATTCAGATTTATTTTTTGTGGCCGGGCTGTGCACGCCTTTAATCCCAACACTCGGGAGGCAGAGCCAGGTGGGTCTCTGTGAGTTCGAGGCCAGCCTGGGCTACCAAGTGAGTTCCAGGAAAGGTGCAAAGCTACACAGAGAAACCCTGTCTCCAAAAACAAAAACAAAACAAAACAAAAAGATTTATTTTTTGTAGGTATGAATGGTTTGCCTGTATTTGTATGTCCACCACATGTGTTCCTGGTACCCTTGGAGGCCAGAAGAGGGCCTCACATCTCCTGGAAGTGGAGTTATTGATGACTGTAAGCCTCCATATTGAGAACCAAACCTGGGTCCTCTGCAAGAGCAACCAGTGTTCTTAATGGCTGGGTCATCTTTCCATTTGTAAATATTTTATGTGCATCACACACTCACTATGTTTTCAACCAGTGTCCCTTCCTTGTTTAGTTTTCCAAACTCTGGTCTTCTCAAGGACCTAGTAGTTGGCTATAGGTCCTCATGTTATTTATAGTACAAATAATCATTGGCCAGTGCTGGTGCCTAAACTGTCGCTGGATATACAGCAGTGACAGTGACCAACAAGGTCCCTGCCCTTGTGGAATAGGCATGGTGTTGATATAAAGAAAAAGTCAAAACTGGGCATGGTGGTACACACTTGTAGTCCCAGCTGTTGTGGACTGGAGGCAGGAGGGAAGAGGGGAAGGTTAGGTGGTCCCAGTTGGTGTTGGGAATGACAAGGTTTCCCATGGAGCAAGATGTCTGTGACCCCACAGCAGGGTGCACGTGCTGAATCAGAGGCGATTTTGTTATAGACTAAGGAGACCTGGAGAGAGGAAGTACAAGTCTGTTTGCAGATGCATTGTGAGTGCTAATCTGAGTGTTCTCAACTTGACTACTGTAAAAATAAAAGAGATTCCTAGACTCACAGATACTAGTGTGTCTCAGCAGTTGGAGTCTAAAGGAGCTAGCAGAATCCGAAAGCTTTTCAACCTTTAAAGAAGATGATGTCTACCAAAGTGTTGTCAGAAAACCCCTCAGCAAAGGTCAGAAACCCAAGACCACAGCGCCCAGGACTCAGCATCCTGTTGCTTCCCATGTCCTGTGGTTGTGTTAGCTTTCTGTCTCTGTAATCGAAGCCTGAGATACCTGAATAAGAAGGGTTTATTCTCACTCACAGTTTAGAGATCCAAAATTGCTTTGGCTTTTATCAAATACAGAAACAGCTCAGCTCTTAGCAGCAGGAAGAAAGAAGGGGCCAGAGTCCCAATATCCCCTTCAGCCATCCAGCCCCAATGAGCTAACTTCCTTCTACTGGGCTTACCCCATAGAGGTTCCACCACCTTGAGTAGCAAAGCCTGGGGACCAAGCTTTCAATACATGGCCCTTTAGGGGTCATTTGCTGTTCAGACTATGATAGTCCACCTTCCTCTCATACAGTGTGTGGTCTGGCTTACAGTGTTCATTCTGCCTGATGCTCAGAGCAGTGACTGGCGCATGTGGATACTCAAGAGATGGGTCTGGGATAAATGAGCCCCAGGTCGTCTCCTGAATGTCAGACCTCTGTCTCTGACAACTTACTACTAGAAATCTCCATTTCGTGTCCCACAGAGCAGTCAAGCTCCGTGTGGATTTCCCTCTTCTCTTCCTGGGTCCTTTGTATGGTTTGGAGCGCGGCTGTCTAACCACCTTCCAGGCCTCTTTGGGAGTTTATGCTGCACCTTCTTGCATTTCTAATCTTCTTTCCAGCCTTGCCATCACGGGCAGTTACTGGATACGACATCAGACTCCACACCATCTTCCGGCCTTGGTCTTATCTCTACTCTCCAGTCCATGTGGTCTCATCATGTCCTGCTGCTCACCAAGGTCAGCTGGTCTGGTGCTCCCTCGCTCCCTGCCTCTCCTCCATCTTTAACCAGGCCTGAGCCTGGAGTGCAGCGCATACACTTTGCAAATGCAAGGCCTCAGACCTGAGAATTTCCCCTGTTGTTTCTCACGAGAACTTTCTCCCCTCGGTTAAGTAGGCCCTTCAGTTGGCCTCCACATAGGAAGGGCTCAGTAAATGTTACTTCTTTTTTGAAAGAATAGTCGATTACTGAAACTGCTCGGGAGCAGTGGGGTTGGAGACTGACTAGAGAATTCCTGCCAGTACAAGTCCTTTACAAATAGACTTTATTTTTGAGACAGTCCTGCTGTGTAGCCCAGGCTGACTCAAACTCAGAATACTCCTGCTTCAGCCTCCTGAATGCTGGGCTCCAGACTTATAAAATGGATACAGATGTTTGGGTTCTTGACTACCCCTCCTCCCAATGCTTCCAAGCTATTAAGTCTTCAATTTCAAGGGCAAAGTGCTTATATCTATGACAGAAGTCATCACACAGAAATTGTTTCTTTATTTGTATCAGTGATCTAAAGGTTATGGGTGGTTTGTGTCGGGTCCTTAGATCACTCCAAATAACCAGAAGACACCCAATATGCAATTACAGGAAGCAGCTTTATTCTCAAGCCAGAAAAACCAGCATGCTGGGGTCCACCCAAAATGGCATCAACCCCAGGGGAGAGTAAGGCAGCCCCTTTTAAGCCTGCTTAGGGGAATTCCAGCTGTGATGAAGTGTACTTTGAAGTGATTGGGAATAGACCCTTACCGATACAAGAATCATTTTATGATTGGCTCATGACATGTGGTTGGCAACTGTGGTGTCAGGGGTCTGTTTTATATGTCAGGGGACTGTTTGATTGAAAATATCGAGAATAGTTCCTGCTTGTGGCGGGGTAGGACCCTAATTGGCACCAGATTGGATGTACCTCCTGAAGATCTGCCTGAAGCCAGACATGAGTCAACATAGGATGGTGGGATAATATGGGGCAGAGGTCTTAGCAAACTGGCCCCTGGGAAAAACAACTGGTCCTGGTCTCTTTAGTTAGTTTGTGTTTGTTTTGAGACAACTTTCATTCCATTGGTCAGACTAGCCTGAGCTACGTAGCTAGCACAGACTGGGCTGGAACTCATTGCAGCCCCCTCAGCCCACCCACTGCTGAAATGACAAGTGTGAGCGGCCACATGCAGATTCAAGTGTGTGTGTTCTTGTGGGTGTGCATGGATGTGGAGGCCAGAGGTCAACCTCCAGTGGCTTTCCTCAGGAACTTCCCACCATGTTCTTTGAGGCAGGGTCCCTCATCACCATGACACGAGGCTCGTCAGTTAGACTCAGCTGTGGCCAGTGAGTTCCCCTATCTCCCTAGTGCTGCTATTATAAGCACATACCATCACACCAGGCTTTTTTACATGTGTTCTGTGATCCAACTCAGGCCTTTCCCAGATTCTGGTCCCAGCAATCACGTGGTAACTCATAACCAAATGTAACTCCACTTCCAGGGAATCTGGCACCCTCTTTTGGCTTTCACAGACACCAGGCATGCGTGTGGTACATACACACACGTAGGCAAAACATCCATACACGTAAAATGAGAAATAAAAATCAATAATTATACCTTCTCCAAACTTCAAACCTTGTCCTGATGCTCACAAGACCAGTATTTTACAATTGAGCTGTCTCCAACCCCTTAAAGTATATTCTTTAAAGCCCAGATTGGCTTTCCCTACAACTCTGCAGATTAAAAAAAAAAAAAATTGTGTGTGTGTGTGAGGTATATGTGCACAGGGGTGTGTGTGCATGTGCATGCTGAGGTACCAGAGGCACCAGGAGCCCTCCTGTGCCCTCCTCTACAACTACCTCGTTCTTCTGAGGTAGGTTCTCTTGTCGAGCTGGGAGCTTGTGGTTTTTTGGCTAGGCTGGCAGTCAGCAAACCCCACCAGTCCTCTCCCCCTTCTCAATGCTGGGGTTAGAGTGTGTTCGGATTGTGCCAGGCTTTTGTGGTGGTCAGGCTTGCCCTGCAAACATTTATTACCACTGAGCCATCTCTCCAGCCCCATCTTTTACATATTTTTAATATAAATATTAGGTTGAGCAAGAAAGTGAAGTCTTTTCTATACTCACAGCCTCCTGGACCTTCAGAAACAGCCTTTCTCTTTCTTTCTTCCTTTCTTCCTTTCTTCCTTTCTTCCTTCCTTTCTTCCTTCCTTTCTTCCTTCCTTCCTTCCTTCCTTCCTTCCTTCCTTCCTTCCTTCCTTCCTTCTTTCTTTCTTTTTCTTCAATTTTTTAAATTAGGCTGGCCTTGAACTCGTGATCTTCCTGCCTCCGCCTCCTTCAGCAAATCTTACTGGCATGTGCCACCACAACCGGCAGCCATTCTCTTTAGCTGCAGCAAGCAAGGGGCTCCTTTTCTGTGTTTCGTGGCATCTGAACCTGCCAAGAGAGACAGTGGGTTGGTGGAATTAGTGGAGCCCAGGCCTAAAACCATTTAGTCCTAAACAGAGAAAAGCCAGGCCTGCCACTAGCACACGGTGCAGCCCAGCTGCTTGTCCCAGGAGAATAGAGAGAACTGTGTGAGCGAGGAGCAGTCGACAGCTCCTAAATTCTTACCATGTACTGATCCAGGCTTGTGGCCTGGGATGCACTGGGCAGGGTGTGATCTTATATAGTGATGTGGAGCCCAATGAAAGAGAGCAGACAGCCACTGTGCCTAAGTTGATAGCATCTGAAACTAACGGCAAGGAGGTGAGGGATGGGGCTCAGTGATAGAACACCGTTGAGGCCCTGGATTCTACCTCCAGCTGTGGGGATCCAGAAGAAAATCATCCGTAGTAGGCAAAGGTGGCAGGCATTCAGGAAGCAGTTCTTTACAGAAAGAGTAGTTCTGTGTGTGAGCCACAGGAACTCCTTACCCACTGTACGTGCGCAGGTGATCTGGTTGTGGTGAGAATTCGTTTCTGAGCGCCTGGCTCTTCAATGTAGAGTGTGCTCTGGTCTGGCCAGCCTCGTCCCTCTCCTTCATGTGTTTCCAGACCACCCACTTTACTGTGTCTTCGCTGTCTCTGCCATCTTCAGGCTGCCATCTCAGTCATGCCTCCTAAATCTACCCTGGGATTGAGGCGAGCATCTTCAAGTGCAGATGGGGGCCTGTCTCGGTCCCTGCGTCAAGCCCTTTGACCCTTTTATAGTTCCTCTGGCATGAGTCAGTTCAGGTGCTGTGATTCAGGCCCCTCCCTGCCTTGAATGGTGGAGTGTACATTCCAGTTGGCTACATCATGTCCCAGCCAAGTGACTTTGGACAAGCCTTTGTTTGCTAGTTCTTGCACATCTGAGCATTGGAGATGACAGTAATGGAACCTGCCTCGCAAGGTTCTTGTAAGGAAGGGTTTGGTGAATGACTTCATGGAGAATGCTTAGGACAGGCCAGGTACCAGTCAGTGCTCTGAATGTCTCCATGATTACTGCATCTTTGCACACATGTGTGCACAGTACACTGCCCTTGAGTCACCTGAGCCTGAGCCTCAGCACCTCTGTTCTTCTGCACATGGAGCCCCTACCAGTCTGCCACCCACCTCATAATACCTAACATCCCAAGCTTATTCCCTGAAGGCTTGTCTATACGTCCATGTGTGTGTGTGTGTTGGGGGGCAGGCGTCAGAGGATAACTTTCAGGAGTCAGCCCTCTCTTTCTACCGTGTGAATCCCAGGGATCAAACAACTCAGGACATCGGTCTTGACAGCAATTACCTTTACCTATTCAGCCTTTTTTGAAACGTGGTTGCTCACTAGCCTGGGCCTTGACCATTAGACTAGGTGGCAGACCACTGATCCCCAAGAATCTAACCATCTCTACCTCCCAACCCCTGGGATTTTTACATGGGTGCTGGGTACCAGGCTCAGGTCCTCATGTGTACATGGTTTCTCCCTCCACAGTTGGAATTGTGCTTTGGATTTGTGTTAGCAAGGTTGGCCTGCCCTCGTGTTACGCTGTTAGAGCTCAGTAAGTTGTGTTTGGTTGGTTAGTGCGTGTTTGTTTTTGAGACTGGGTCTTGTGTAGTTCAGGCTGGCCTTGTACTTCTGATCTTCAGCCTCCCAGATGCCAGGATTATTACGATCTACAAGGTGTATGCCATCATGCCTGGTTTTACTCAGTTCTGAAGGGTGAACTCATGGCTTGATACACTCAAGGCAACTGTTCTACATCACCAACTGGAGAATCCCTTCTAAGGGATCAGGGCAGCTGTAACTGCAGGTGGCACTGGACAGACTGAGTAGTATTTTATAACCCAGCTTCATCTGTTGTGTTCAGAGCCCTGCTTCTTCTGCGCCAGTCGCTGCTGCCCTCTGGTGGACAAACCATGGAACTGTTGAATCGGGAAGCCCACTATGCATGGTAGCATAAGGCAAGCCTGGCTTTTGTTTTGTTTTTGGTTTTTGGTTTTTCAAGAAAAGGTTTCTCTGTGTAGCTTTAGAGCCTGTCCTGGAACTCACTCTGTAGCCCAGGCTGGCTTCAAACTCACAGAGATCTGCCTGCCTCTGCCTCCCGAGTGCTGGGATTAAAGGCGTGCGCCACCACCACCACCACCACCACCACCACCACCACCACCACCACCACCACCACCACCACCACCACCACCACCACCGCCCGGCTGGTTTTGTTTTTTTGAAATAACGTCTCATTTGGCCCATGCTGGCCTAGAACTCACTATGGCTCTTTCTGCTTCTACATCCTGACAGAGGGCTGCAGGTGTGTACCACCACACACAGCTGCTGGCCCTCTTGGCTCCCTTGGCACTGTGTACAATAGTGACACTGCCCAACAGTGTTATGTGTTTCTCGTCTGGGCCTCTTTCACCTTTCGGTGTATGTACAAAACAATAGGTTGTATTTGGGCATCTGCATAGAGAATCCGAGGACAACCAGGGTTGTATAGAGAGACCTTGTCTCAGAACAAAAACCAGGTTGACAAAGGACTAGCTTTCTCCAGTCTCT